AACTGGTATCATATTTTTGTTTATTATTACTATGAAGTGATTCATAATTTTTTTTTTTCATTCAGCTTTCTTATAAAGTAGCACTTTATATAATTTAAAGTACATTTTAAATGCAAAACTTTACTTGAAGTGAATATTGTCGTATAAAAGCTTAATCGTTGGACCGTTTAAGCTAACCCATGTAATTTACCACGGACTTAGGTTAGGAAGTATGCAGAAGGTCATACCTCTGACCTTTGTCACGATTGACCTCAAACATAAGCCTGTTTGATGTTAAGCCCTTGAGGCTTATCAACTTCCTTCTCCAGAATAATTAATTTATTTTCTTTATTAATCGATTATTACTGTATCGATACGGTAGAATTTAACGATTGCTGCAAACTTGAAAATAAAAATTTTCTTTTAAACTACCCTATAATCGCACAGAGTCAAGTTAAAGAGAAAAAACTATAATATAGTCGGACTTTTCTTCAAACTGGAAACCGTACTACTTCAACGTACTATTTCAAATCGACCAGAGTTGGCGAGAGTCCCGCAAGGTTTAATACTTACTCCTTTACTATATTATGTATATGCCCGAATCAATCCGATACATTAACTCCTTTGTTGAGATATAGGAATTTTAACAAATCAACAGGACCCAAGACTCTTTTTAAAAACTAACTCTTTTAAAAGAAATTTAACAAATCGCTTACTACATGTACGAATATTGCACTATCTTTGGAAAACTAGATAAAATCACTACTTGAAATATAACATATATAACATTTAAAATTCAATGAGGCACGTTTCACAGGATAAAAATTTCACGGCCAGAAGGATGATTTAGGGCCTACACGAAAAAATCAAAAGAAAATTTTTCTATGTAAACTTTGTTATTACAATATTATTGCAAAGTGTTAACTTTAACATTCTCCGGCCTAGCCAGGTTAAAATTAATTTAGTTGCTATATAGCTGAGAAACGGAATAAATATCAACCTTCTCATTATGGTTAAAATAGGTTTGGTTGTACCTATAGAACAACTCCTTCCTCCTTCCACGCCGTATATGCTGGAACTAGTGAGGTTCGGTGTAAACGAAAAAGAAATAAATAAAAAAAAACTAAAGGAGGATTAATATCGCCCTTCATTTAGTTGTTGCTGGGTACTACAGTTTTTGAAGATCTTTTGCCTCTACTAATATCTTCTTTCACTCTTGAAATAACAATATTAATAATTTGTATATTGAAGAAAAAAAATATCGTTCACTAAATCATGATTGTATCACACTCTTGGTCAAAAACTGTCAAAAGATTTTTCCATTCATCTAGATCATTCTGGTTATTATAGGTTTTGTTGTAACTCCTGGAACAAATTCCCCAAAAACATCACGGTAAGGGGTTATTGGAAAAGAAATTATATACAATAACGAATATTTATTAGTTAACCGTTGCATAATAAAAGAATCATGTGGTCCGTGTTGGCGGTCATAAATATGCTAAATAGTGGCAAAACTATTTTATTAAAGCCAACGTTTCGACTCACTTTACAAATCTTCTTCAGGGCTAGAACGGACAAGATACAAAAAGATAGAGAATTGTGGAAGTTACATAATATTTAAACGAAAAATTATAAACAATGTGAATACGCTTATTAAAATTATGAACAGTAAGTACATTAAACTATAACAGAGTAAGCTAAGTAACAAGGTCCTAAACTGAAGTAAATAAATGGTAACAATGGTCGTAGTGTAATATATAATATATGCAAATGTGACTATACTTCTACAGATCTACAGCAGAGATTGAAAGAAAAGAAAAATGATATTATATGAAATAATAGACATAAAGGAATGTGGAGAAAGAAAAGAAAAAAGAAAACGAAAAAAAATTAATTAAATAAGTAAATCAAATTAGAGACTTACAATAGTGGCAAAACTATTTTATTAAAAGCCACGTTTGTAAGTCTCTAATTTTATTCTTCTAATTTTATTTACATATTTATTTAATGTTTTGGTTTTCTTTTTTCTTTTCTTTCCTCACATTCCTTTATGTCTATTATTTCATATTATATCCTTTTCCCTTTTCTCCCTTCTAATTCCTTTATATACAATAATATGTGTGTGTGTTTATGAGTCTTATGGTTTTGAATTATATTATTAAATATGATTATACTCCCTTCAAATGGCTATGGTGGATTGTAAAATGTATTTACGGAATGGTTAATATATTTTTTAATATTTTAAAATGATATGAACGACGTATGTAAGCATAATTTATTTTTGTTTTTTAATATTTTCCTCAACTCACCTCGGATCGCAAACATATTTCAACATTTTATATTCTTTTTTTTTCGTGTGTGTGAAAATGAATAATCCAACATTTATTGTTTACAATTTGGCAAGGATATGTTTATTGTTTGATAAATCAAAACAATCTTAAAATCCATTCTGGCTCATTTAAATTGCTAATCATGATGATACGCCTTGAGGAACAGGAAGATGGAAGGTCATGACCCTACTTAGAATTGACCTCATCTCCACTGACACAGCTTTGCAATTCAGAGGCTGCCGAGTGAAGTATCTTATACCATATATATTTGTTTCCTGAAACGTTCTTTATATCATTTTTTTTCTTCCCCAGTTATTATTTTACTGAATCCTTGCAGTTCAATGCAAATTCTATCAACTTAAAGTTTTTGAAGTACCTACCAGATCTGGGAAAAAAGTGTTTTAATATTTATTTTAAAATACAGTATTTAAAATACTAAATGTTATGTATTTTAAAAATACATCGCAGTTTAATTATAAAGTATTAAATGGTTTTCAGAAAAAGTATTACAATACAAAACACTTTCTGGTAGACGATCACTTAACACTAGTAACACACAAAATATATTCAGTTTGTTTGCTCATTCTATGTTGTATTTTAATAAGAAAATACAGTTACAAAAAATCTGCCTTATATGTTAATTCTTAAAATTAAAAAAAAAAAATATTTTGTTTAGTATTTTAAAATATCTTTTTTTTTTTTTTAATTTTAAAGATATTTACAACTGTATTACATAAAAAATATAATAAGTAAATGTGACATTGGTAAGATGAAATGTAAAACATGAAGAGAAACTACCCATTGGAGGAACTTAAATTAAAGTTCTATATTAGAAGGTTAATTCTTTTCAGAAGCCTCGGAGGTTTATCAGGAATAGAAGAGGAACCAAGATTGGAAACAAGAGAGTTCGGATGGTTCAGAAGTTTATTATGGAATGATAGATATCTGGATTGGGCTAAATTGGAAACGTATGATAAGTTATGGTCGTTATGGATGATTTCATTTGTGACAAAGTAAGGTGCATTGAGGATTTTGGATTGTAAGGATTGAATACGAGATGAATTCGATGGTTTAGTTGATTCCGTAAGTCCAAATATTATAGTCATATATATAAGTCTTTTGAAAGTTTAGAGCAGTTGTCCTTTAAGTGCTGGAAAATATCTTATTTGAAATACTGCACAGGTCTGATAACTACATTGCCTAAAAATGTAGGTTTTTTAAATTTTCACTACTACAATAGATTATTAAATATAATTTTTATCTACTGTGCAGCTTGAAACATATATTACAACTTGTAATATTGTAATTTACAAGTAGTGAAAAAGCTCCATAATTACGTTAAATAATTAAATTAAAATTACAGGCATTATAATTTTTAAAGGATTAAGCCAAAAAAAAAAGTATATATATATATATATATATATATATATATAATAGAATAGAAAATTGAACTTTATTCTGGGACTAAGTCCTCTTAGAATAACAAGTCCTCTTAGAATAACAATGATGAATTAAATATAATACAACTTGATATTGATGTTTAAATTCTATATACATATTTTGAATTTTTAGTGTCATTTAAACTAGTTTTGTAGACATTTTAGATTTTCCATTACTTTTTAAGCTTACTGCATTCAAAAACTCTAACGTCGACGAGAGAAATTACCCTTTGGTTTAACAATACAATAGGACGAACCTATTGACCTGGAAGAACCTTTCTCTAGAATAAAACCACGATGTCGATCCTTTGCAGAAAAGGCAGAAGAGGGGAGAAAAGAAAAATTACTAGTCTGCCTTTTTTTTTTCTTTTTTGTTCGGCTTCACTGAGGCAAGCAATATAACACGTTTTCCCCTAACTTTATCGTATGTACTTTATTGTTTCTTTTACGGCCCATCGTTTAATAAATTGTTTATAATTGATTATAAAAATAAAAATAATTAATTTATTTTCTAGTATATTTAAAAACTTTTTCATTTTTTTTCGTAAATATTTGTTATTTTTAATGATTCTAGTATTCTTCAGGTATTTGGTTTAAGTATTGTGCTCCTTTTTTTTTTTAAGATTTGTAATATATATTTTCTATAGGTACTTATTAACACTTCTGTATTAATACACTCATTGTTGGTAATATTCTTAATATTTCTATAATTCGTTAACATATCAATTTTTTTTTCATATGGATTTTTTAGTCCGTATTTGTTTTAATCTATTTTTAGGTTATATTTATTTATTTGTCTTTTCTAATATAGCAATGACATACATTAATGTTTTTGAAATTTAATTAGTTTTTTCAAAAAGATTGCACATCCAAAGCCATGGTACAAAAGTCGGTTAATAAAATATTTTAATAGAAAGTGCGATTTAGAGCTTTTAATTTCAATTTAGTCTTCAAAAACATTCAGAAATACAAACTAAAAAACAAACGTAATTTGAAATATTATATGTTTATTTTGTATCAAATTAAAATTGAATCAAATAACAACTTGCTATAAATAACTTGTTAACAAATTTAAATGTTTTTGTGTGTGTCTTATGCATTCATGCTTCATTTTCGTTTTCCTTCTGTTTTCTGTTCACTTTTATTATTGTCTGTTCTTTGAATTTGAAGCTACAATGAAGAAAATCTTGATAACTCTCGCAACCCAACGATCCTCTCCCCTTTCTCTGACGTTAAAAACAAGTTGCATTTGATGCTTTCCTACGTTCTTTGGTCAGGAAACGTTTCGTAAGATCTGGTAATTCTTTCTGTTCAATTGGCGCTGCAATTAAAAGAGTTATCAGAGCGGCGTGATGGTTGATATGTATCTAGGCTAGAGCCTACGTCCTTCCGTAATGTAACAGCTCTCTTCTCTTCATTAATCTACATTATTCTCTGTGTGTGTAGTAATAACTTGTTTCTCTAGTCAATCATTTTATCACTGAAATTAGATTAATGAGTCTCAGATCACACAGCAGATGTAATTAGGTACCATATTTCATAAATTATTAAAAATATCTATGACTTACTGCTCCTAAACAAGTTTTTCTCTCCATTCAAGTCATGCTATATCTCCGGTCGAGCTACAGATATTAATAATATATGAGTGGTTTCAATATTATTATACATTACGGACAATAATACAAACATCATACACTACAAGACGGGCATCTTTCATTTTCACAAAGTGGAGAAGTCAAATTTTGTTTTATAGCTTCATTTTAAACTGTTTCTGACGATTTTAAGAATGTTAAATTTGAAACATGAAAATATATCATAAGATTTAGTTTACATTGAAGCTATTTTACCAAATTTGGATTTTTTTCAACTTTACAAAATTTACAAATTTCTGTCTTTGGTATAATGCCACTCTTATGTTAATTTTTTCACCTCAAAATTTCTTGTTGATACTTTTTTATTAACGTTTTAAAAAATTAACATCAATTTTTTTTAAATTTCAAATATCTATCTGCATCTGTCATGGTATTGAAATCAACAGATTTGTGGTGATAAATAATGATTGACATTATATACATTCGGTCGTTAATTAATGGCGTTAATTATTTTGTAAAAATAAAATATTAATTCTCTTAAAACTTTTTTATTCAAAAATATTGTAAATATATCAACAGTGAATATATATATATATATAGAAACAGTGAATATATATATATATATATATATATATATATATATATATATATATATATATATATATATATATATATATATATATATATATATATATGCATATATATTCACTGTTATATTTTGGAACATCTAGCAGCTTCATTCGCATGAGATATGAAATGAGCTGAAATTCTAAATGTTGTGTTATTTCTTAGGCAGTATAATACTATTTGACTTTAGGAGGATTTCTGCTTATATTCCTCATGTTTCCTATTTATTTGTTTATTAAGGTTTGCATAAATAAATTTGGAAGGTTCAAATATGGAATTTAAATTAAGTTGGGGTTCTCAACTTTTCCTTCCATTTTCATATTTTTTCCTGTTTTTATCGAGTTGATGTTTAAGCAGTACTGAACTTTTCCTCCCACGCCCACCATTTTGTAGTTGTTTCTATGTTTTTGATGTTTGCGCTTCGTTACAGCCCCTACATTAATTAATTTAATTTAATTAATTAAATTAAATTTACATAGAAATTATTAACCCTGTTCGAAGTCAAAGGTCACAGTAGTAATTTGGATCTCATTATCGTTAATGTTAATATTCGGATTGACATAAGTCATCACATAAAGCACCGAGTTACAGATTTTATTTTTCCACTATTATAATATAAGAACATGCAATATATACAAAATATATATGTATATATTGCAAGTACTTATATTTTAATAATTGAAAAATAAAATGGGGAATTAGAAAAAAAAAGTTACAGATACAATAAATAAATTTAGAATAAAAAAAAGTGATATTTTATATATAGCTGAAGTGTAGAATAAACTTTTAATGACTTGTGGTAAGTACATGACGTAGAAATTAGGATCACGACTTGAAATTAGTTTTACTCTATGTTATACGTTTTGAGGTAATTCAGATCGTATGGCGATTGAGATGGATTACTTTTGTAAGAATAGTTATTTCTACTCATTGTACAGTTGAAAAGAGAAAGTTTTCATATCGGTTTCCTTTCTCTAATTTAGTAATTTCCTACCGGAAAGAATGATTTCCTACGGTCCGGCTGGGCTCAGACACGACCTAGCTTCAACTGCTCCGTCGAAGGCACAGCCGAAGACAAGGTCATGGTGTGCTGCGGCATTGTATGGAACCTGTTGTAGCGATGATGTAACTGGACGCCCGTACGCGAAGGTCCACCTTGACCTGTCCTCCGCGACCTATCTCTTGTAGGATCAGGTACTGGAAGTGTTGGCAGTGGGATCTGTGTTGAGGACGTGAAGCTGAGTCATGTACCCTGCTTGATCCGGGTTATTAAGAGTCGTCATTCGAATGAGCCTGCTTCGGACACGAATGAAGAGGGAAAAAACATCATTCATAGTCGGAAGATAAATATTAAAAATAGACTTTACATTCAGTCCATGGATTCTCATCTTTTCAACAAATGGAATATACTAACCGTTTCCCTGCCTACGTTTGATGATAGAAAGAATCTGATTCTTAAATACTTTCAGTTGGTTTGTCAAAAAAGAAAAAAATAAGCTTTATTTGGATACTAAATTCTCCTAAGAATATTTATATTACATAATTATCTTTTATTTGTGGCATTTATGTTTATTTATCTTATTTTCAAGGATATTATTTATCTGCATTATGTTGTTTATACTCCTTATTATTTTCTTCTAATTAATTATGTTTTTTTTATTTTAGTTAAATTTTATCGATTATATCTCAAAGAGGTTTTTTCTTTCTTTTTTTTTTTTTTTGTCTGTACGCCATATTTTTGTTAATTCCTCATCATATCCAATAATTGAACCATCGTCTAGAAGATTATTTTCTCCTTCAGGTGAGAGAAATAAGCATGTTTACTAGAAAAGTAAAGAATAAAGGTTATGAATAAAAATAAATTTCGTTTGTATAATTCAAACAGTATACAATTTACGACATCTCTAAAAAAAGAAAAACGTTATCGAAGTCGGATCATTATTAGCAAAAATACAGCCTATTGTAATTTGTAAACATGTTCATGTTTATTTTTTAATGAATCATTGTAATCGACAAGGGAAGATATGATTAATTCTATCACCTCGGATTAAATTGATTTTATTTATTTTCATATTTTATCACAAACATCACATGTTCACTGGTCAATATACTACGCTAAGTATTGAAGAAAAATTAATTGGAGTTTCAAAATAAGTAAAATTATATTTACTATATAAATTATATTTATTTTTATATCTTAGTGCCTACGTTTCAGACTTTCATCAGGACTTTTCTCACGAAAGATACTGAGAGACAAATATACTATGCGATTTGTTCGCACGAGCCAACTATTTATTATTATTAATTTGTATTTCATTTTGTACATTTTAACTGTTTCAGTTTAAATGCACTAGCGTCTTTTACGCCAGAATAAACTAATTTTGGAAAAAATAAGTAATTTTAGTATATCTGTAGTTTTTAAAAAAAAAAAAATCTCAATTCCAATATATTTTTTAATGCGTTCTATTTATATTATAGAAATAATAAGAATATAAAAAATACCATTCGATTGACAAAACATCGAAAAGCTGTCTGTACCTTCGAAATAAATACAAAATATAGCTTTTTTTGTCCACCAAAATTAATTTAAAATGCTTCTTAAAACTAATTTCCATTAGCTTAAACTAGAATAGAGAGAGTTGAAAAAAAGTTAGTTTATATATATATTTAAGTGTTTATTCTTTTATATTATGTCATGTTGATGGACATTATATGTATATATTTTAATATATTATAGAACAAACAGAGAGAACTTTATAAAAAGTTTTATCTGGTCATTCTGTGACCTAATGGTTCAGGAGGATGTAGGTGATCTGAATTAGAAAATTTTGTTTTCAGAAGGAAGAGTAGAGCCACATCTACTGAGCTAATATACTATAGTCAAGTGAACGGAAAATCTAACTAATTTTATTTTTTAAAATAAAGAAAGTCCTGTACCACTACAAACCATAAAGGGTCTTGGATTCGTTAATTAGTAAATCTGCATCTGTCATGGTATTGAAATCAACAGATTTGTGGTGATAAATAATGATTGACATTATATACATTCGGTCGTTAATTAATGGCGTTAATTATTTTGTAAAAATAAAATATTAATTCTCTTAAAACTTTTTTATTCAAAAATATTGTAAATATATCAACAGTGAATATATATATATATATAGAAACAGTGAATATATATATATATATATATATATATATATATATATATATATATATATATATATATGCATATATATTCACTGTTATATTTTGGAACATCTAGCAGCTTCATTCGCATGAGATATGAAATGAGCTGAAATTCTAAATGTTGTGTTATTTCTTAGGCAGTATAATACTATTTGACTTTAGGAGGATTTCTGCTTATATTCCTCATGTTTCCTATTTATTTGTTTATTAAGGTTTGCATAAATAAATTTGGAAGGTTCAAATATGGAATTTAAATTAAGTTGGGGTTCTCAACTTTTCCTTCCATTTTCATATTTTTTCCTGTTTTTATCGAGTTGATGTTTAAGCAGTACTGAACTTTTCCTCCCACGCCCACCATTTTGTAGTTGTTTCTATGTTTTTGATGTTTGCGCTTCGTTACAGCCCCTACATTAATTAATTTAATTTAATTAATTAAATTAAATTTACATAGAAATTATTAACCCTGTTCGAAGTCAAAGGTCACAGTAGTAATTTGGATCTCATTATCGTTAATGTTAATATTCGGATTGACATAAGTCATCACATAAAGCACCGAGTTACAGATTTTATTTTTCCACTATTATAATATAAGAACATGCAATATATACAAAATATATATGTATATATTGCAAGTACTTATATTTTAATAATTGAAAAATAAAATGGGGAATTAGAAAAAAAAAGTTACAGATACAATAAATAAATTTAGAATAAAAAAAAGTGATATTTTATATATAGCTGAAGTGTAGAATAAACTTTTAATGACTTGTGGTAAGTACATGACGTAGAAATTAGGATCACGACTTGAAATTAGTTTTACTCTATGTTATACGTTTTGAGGTAATTCAGATCGTATGGCGATTGAGATGGATTACTTTTGTAAGAATAGTTATTTCTACTCATTGTACAGTTGAAAAGAGAAAGTTTTCATATCGGTTTCCTTTCTCTAATTTAGTAATTTCCTACCGGAAAGAATGATTTCCTACGGTCCGGCTGGGCTCAGACACGACCTAGCTTCAACTGCTCCGTCGAAGGCACAGCCGAAGACAAGGTCATGGTGTGCTGCGGCATTGTATGGAACCTGTTGTAGCGATGATGTAACTGGACGCCCGTACGCGAAGGTCCACCTTGACCTGTCCTCCGCGACCTATCTCTTGTAGGATCAGGTACTGGAAGTGTTGGCAGTGGGATCTGTGTTGAGGACGTGAAGCTGAGTCATGTACCCTGCTTGATCCGGGTTATTAAGAGTCGTCATTCGAATGAGCCTGCTTCGGACACGAATGAAGAGGGAAAAAACATCATTCATAGTCGGAAGATAAATATTAAAAATAGACTTTACATTCAGTCCATGGATTCTCATCTTTTCAACAAATGGAATATACTAACCGTTTCCCTGCCTACGTTTGATGATAGAAAGAATCTGATTCTTAAATACTTTCAGTTGGTTTGTCAAAAAAGAAAAAAATAAGCTTTATTTGGATACTAAATTCTCCTAAGAATATTTATATTACATAATTATCTTTTATTTGTGTGTGTTGGATTTGTGTGTGGTGTGTTTGTGTGTTTGTGGAAGTGTGTTGATCAAGTACTGGAAATAAAAAAAAGGTTCAAGGTCTACGTTTGTACATGGAATAGATCAGGATGGAATTAAGCTCAACCGTCAGTTTTACCGGAATCAACATTGGTCCCCTATTTTCGGTTCACCACTCTTCTCGAATTCCAGATCCTCTATTGAAGATGGAACATTTTTTTTTCTTCAACGACCAACCCACATCCTGTATATCATTTATCATGGCCCGTCCCATGAGAGGGATTTGTAAAGAAAAGTTTGTGGCCTTATACTTTTCCCGAAGTTTGAAGAAAGATGTTTGCTTCCCGGTCCCCTATCGCTGATTTCTTGTTGGTTTGCCGTTTCAGCTATAAATTGAATGATAGCAAAATTTAAAATTTTCAAGTTATTACCAACTGATAAAAGTAGTTTTAGTTCTGTTAAGGGTATCCGCACTCTAAGGATGATTTTCGAAAATGTATGTCTTCGTTCGATCCCGTCTAACAACAATATGTGGCTGGCTACATGTGATAACTATATATATTTTTTTGTTCTTGTTTTTTTACATTCATTAAATAAAACATCACGATACATTTTCTTTTCACAAGGTTTTTATTATTGTTTGAACATGAAAATTCTGAATTATGGCATGTTTGTCTAGTTCAGAATTTTACTAAAAGATAATATAACGAGATAATTACAAGGACAGACTCTATTAAATTGATATATTTTTCAGAAAATTCTCTCAAATTATTTCATTAAGTGCTAATGAGCTCTCCAAATTACTGCCTAGAGGAATTAATTATCTCCCACCTTTTACAAGACTAGCCGCTAACTTTGTTTACAGGTTTTAGTGAATTAGTTCATTTATTTCTCCGAGTAAACAATTTTTTCATTATTAATTTTAGCGCATTAGAAAAATTGGTCAATAATATGGTATCATTTTTTGTTTTTTTTTAGTTTTTGATAATCAACATGACAATATATTAAAAAAGAAGTATGAAAATAATATTTTACGTTGATTAATAAACTTTCTGTGCCGGCAGATCTTTATCCATATTAATTAGGAGTAATTAATTGATTATTTGCAATAAATTATAACAGATGAAATAAATACATTAGTGTTGCCCAAATGCAAGACCAAAACCAGTCTTAGTCTTGCGCACTCAGTCTTGTCCTTGCGCAAGAGTCTGGCAGTTGCCACTTAGCTTATTACTATAGAGATATTACTGTATTTTTTTAAATAGGAGAAACCTAACTAAGTTCCAATGAAAAATTAGAAGTGATAAATGCAAAAGTATATTGGTTATACCAATTCTTTACACGTAGTAACTAAAATTCTCAAGTATTAGTAAATATTGCCTTAATTTTTATTTAAAAATTCGATTTTATTTACCAGTCTTGGTCTTGGTCTTGCAACAATTAGGTGGTCTTGTTCTCGGTCTTGCAAAGTGCTAGACCAAGACCGATTTTGAGGTACACTAAAATACATGTATACTTTTATGTGAAAAAAGAAAACAGAAGATAACATTTTTTTCTAAGTTCTTTCATAGCAAACTATATTTTATTATTATGAGTACGTAATCTTCGACGTATTTAAATTACCATTTAAATATTGAAAGTCTTAAAATCATTATTTTTTATGACAATGTTGATTTTTTCAACAGGAAAACATAGTTTTATTTTTCTTATTTCCTCCCGTGGGAAGATGTTTTGTGTGTAATAGTCTGGCCTTGATCTTAATACAGTGATTTAGAAGGTTTGTACACAATTGGTTCCATGTGTTTTCTACTATTTGGTAAAATCTCATGAGAATCAGCTAAACGTTATTTTCCCGTTAAAGCGATACTTGAATCTGCAAAATTTTGTAATTCATTTTAATTATATTTTTTATTCATGGTGGTTATTTATGTATGAAATCATTTCTGGATATGATTAAATTTTAACTGAACGTTTACGAAAGGTGGATATTCGATCATTTACTTATACGTTTGTTTTAAAACGTAATAAAACCTTCAGCTTATCTTACTATGTTTATAAATACACGTCTCTTCGCTGTGATTGTCAGAAAACTGTGAGAACCTTCTGTTTTATCTTGTCCTTGGAAAGACGTGAGTGTAGATTAACCAGATTAAATATCCTAAAGCCATCTTTGGTTTATCAAATGCTTGGTAATACGTTTCTTTTTTAAATTTGATTTTCCTCCTTGCATATTCTCACTGAGCCGAGGGTATTAGTACACATGGGCTTATACTCCATGAACATTTGCATTATGTATGTTTATTTTGTTAGTTATAAATTTTAATTTTCCTTTCGACTTAACACACTTCAGAGATCTTTGAATGCTCGAACCAGCATTTATAAGACTTCTCCTCATCTTCTTACCTTGGATATCTTCCTTCAAGCACTGCTGCATCTTTGTTGATCCTATTAATCCAGCTGATTTTTAATGGTTCATTAGTCCTACTCAGCCATTAGATAAAACTTGGTTCCTCAACTGATCCGTTTATACATTATCGTACATTCTCTCAGATCATTCAGTTCTTCTTTCCATGGTCCTTTTATAGAGTCTTGATCTTGCAAACTTACTCTTGGTCCTGATCTTAGTCTTACGCAAAACCCTCGTAATAGTCTTGCGGTTACCTATTAGCTTATTACTAGAGAGATATCACTGTATTTTTTTAGATATGAGAAGCCTGAATGAAAAATTAGAACAGTTAAATGGAAAAGTATATTGGTTACACCAATTCTTTACTTATAGTAACTAAAATTGTCAAGTATTAGCAACTATTTTGCCTCAATTTTTATTTAAAAAATCAATTTTTTTTTACTAGTCTTGATCTTGGTCTTGCATCAGATAGGCGGTGTTGGTCTTGGTCTTGCAAAGTGCACCGATTTTCTTCGTGCAAGTCCAAAACCGATTTTGGGCAACACTAGTTCATTGGAAGTACAAAGTAAAAATAGAAGAAGAAAATAAATATCAAATATATAAAATATATATATATATATATATATATATATATATATATATATATATATATATATATATATATATATATATATATAATTTATTTTCACTTTGTACTTTTAATGATTCCAAATCCAAAAAAAATTGGAGAGAAGATGGCTGGCTTCGACGATTTCCCAAAAGCAATATTAAACCTAATGTATATTGTTTGGTTTTCACTACGTGACAAGGAATACATTAGTAACAATGATCCTATAGATAACAATGCACAAACGTGAGTTTTACATTGGAAGAATTTCAGAAAATATGATTTGAAATAATAAACAGAGAACACATATCCATGTTGTTCCGTGAAAAATACGTTATATGTTTTTTCATGGACAAATATGTTATAATTAGTTTCATAAATATTAACAGAAGCCTTAATATAAGAGTGTAATGTATATCATACAATTATTAAATTTAAAACAAAATATCGGAAAGGAAGATGATACTGAATTGTATTAAATTTGGTGGGATAGGTCGTAAAAAACGAAATAAAGCGGGGTTAGTAAAACATAAAAACAAATCTCTTTGTTATAAAAAAAAAATGTTTGTACCAATTTCAATACATTAAAATACTTAAATAATCTCTACTATATAAAACAGTTTTTAGTGATCGTGTAATAGATTTTTTTTAATCCCAACAAATTATAATGATAAGGACAAAGACTTGAAATCCTCCTCCCCCCTGTTTACACAATATTGAAAGCATGCCCTACTATCAGAACACTTGAAAACTATATTCCAATTTCTAAAAAAACACAATTACTACAAACATATTTAAACAACACAACTCTTATAAGCACATTTATCATGCACATTATAACTGACAGCAGTTGTAACAACGTATTACTTAGGGCAATGTACAATTGGAGTTTAAGATTGAACTATCAATCATTCATGATTTTCATATTTAACTGTAGTTCAATCTTGAACTTGACTTGAACTCCAATTGTACAACTGGCCCTTATAGACGTATCTTAACAACATAATCTCACCTAAAACAACACAATATTTTAAAGACATTTATTTATTGGATATGTAATTGAAATGAATATGACATAGGTGCCTCTAACCTACGTAGTTGCATATAGCACTCTAATATAATAAAATAATTAAATATATTTAAAAATTTATATAATCTGAACTACAGAATATACTTTAATTACAGTTATACAATTTGAGCGAAGATTTGTACAATTAAGCAAGAAGTTGTTTAATTTGTAAATGGGGGTTGGTCCGCCGTTAGACGGACAGAGGGATACTCCCTACTACTTATATTTATTTATTAAAAAAATAAATAAATATAAAAATTAATGCCAAATTTTAAAAATATTTTATTCAACAATATGAATAATTAGAGAGTTTTAATTGAATTTTATAAACCTTTATAAGGGGATTGATAATGAAACTTGAACATCAAACTGATTCAGTCTGTATAAAAAAAAAAATTGGTACAGGGTAAACGCACCAGTTATGGACAGGGGCTGGGGGCAGTGATGTATAGATTGGACTTAAAATTTAAAAAGTAAGCTTCCTTGTTAATTTAAAGGTTCCATTTTTTTTCTAGATTATAGAACGATTCCCTCTATTGACAACTG